TATATATATATATATATATATATATATATATATATATATATATATATTGCACATAATTAACATATACAATGCAGGTTGTGTGACAGGTTAGATTTTACATTGGTACAACCCACAAATGCATTTTCCCAACAAATGTGGCATCAAAAGGAAGTGCCGGCTCAAGCCTCCATGGGGTCATAAGAGAAATTTGGTTTGGGGCCCTCTGTTTCTGCTAATAATGAGGATCACCGCACTCAACAGTCAGATGATCAGATCATTCACCCACCTAACATAAAGTCATTGCAACTCTGACAGCCCTGTTTGCATTATACTATCTAGTGCACGAGTGTCAAACTAATTTTCATTTTGGGCCACATCAAGCTCATGAATGTCCTCAAAAGGCCGGACATGGCAGAATGTATTGATAAAACTACCAAGACCTATTAGCAAACTGGTAAAATATAAGGTTCTCTGCATTTGATGACTATTTCTAAAAATGTGATATTTTATGTTTGAGTATTTTGGCATTATAAACATGAAAACTAATTTGATTTGGCTGTTAAAGTAATATTGACACACACAACTGTTTTAACACAATTTTATCACTTACACACAGGTTATATCAGCTCATTTTGTATCGTTTTCCCCAAATATATATATATAGTTGTTAAAAAAAAATTACAACTTTATAATGAAATTGTGTGTAATAGAATCATATAGAAATCATTACTAAAAAAAAAAAAATCTACTTAGGGGTCCCCTTAGTGACCTGGGGCCCTAAGCAGCCCCTTTTTTGCTTATGCCTTGGGCCGGCCCTGTCAAGAGTTAACAAACTGGCTTTATATATATATATATATATATATATGTATATATATATATATACATATATAATAACCTTTCCTACCGTGTAAGACTCATTTCCAAGAAACATTGTTACAACAAATGAATAATCATCCTAACACAACCTTACTTTTGGTGCAATTTTTTTTTTTTTTTTTTTGTCATGCGCCTTTAAATAAATCACCCTATAAGCCCCGCCCATTTATGCAAATGAGACGTGACGTTGACGGAAGCCAGCCGCTACGTCTCCTCTTCCGACAGATATTCGTGAAAGGCGTATTTAAAGCCCTGGCTTCAGTCGAGAGCCGTAAGCAACAAAAACAAAGCTGCAGCGGAGCGGAGCGACAGTTCGAGCCCTCAGAGGACGCAGACACGGAGCCAGGGGCTGACACGACCCGGCGAGGTGAGCACGGTGTCCGGGGAAAAGACAACCAGCTGCCTCGACGGAGGTGTGTGGGGGGATTTTAAACATTTGACTCCCGATAGCCGGGTGCGCGCGCACGCACACGCAGCATCTCAGGTTGCTGCTGCAGAGAGGAGGAAGAGGAGATGGTTACTGTACTTTCTGTCTGTAGGCCTGTGTTTAAACATAAAGGACAGAAGCTGCAGGGTTTTCATGTAATTAGGGATTTTTTTTAAATAAATGTATATAAAAACGAGTCAGGGAGGATTTTAAAACAAGGAGAACAGTAGTTTGGAGTTTGTGCATGCATTTTATATTTATTTCACACCTGATATGTTTCTTGTATTTAACCAGGAAGGAGAACTACACTAATTAGAATAGCACACCAGAGGATAAAGGAAGTTAAAATATGGATAATAAGCATGTTTGTGTTAAAATCTGCCTCTGTCACTTACAACTGAAAGAGGAATATAAGTGCATATTTATTTGTTGACTGGGGCCATCCCCTAAAAAAAAATCCCATTTTCTTGGTGGAATAATGGGATTCTGTTTGGCTCACAAATATAATTTTGTGTTTCTGCTTCAACAAAAGCTGCATGGTTTGTCTGAAGACGCAAAAAGGCTGTTCCAATAAATAACCCTAAAGACTGTTACTTTTTGTTTTCAACTGCCTTTAATCGGTTTTAACTGGTCAGTATGGACTTTATTTTTTACCATTAAAAATGTTAAATGATGATGACAGTGTACTTTTTTTTCCTTTTTTTAAATTTTTTGCAGTAGCAATCTCAATCTTTGGGAGGAGTAAAACTGTATACCGGTAACTAGTTTAAAAAAAAAAAAAAAAAGATATTGATTGTTCTGTTCTGTCCTGTTCTGATATTGACTGGTTCATCCCAAAGATCCAGTCCCCCGGCACAAACAGAGTAATATTGTGTATGCTGTTCAGTGTCAGGAGGGCTGTGATCAGTCTTACATCGGGGAAACTAAACAGCCACTGGCCAAAAGGATGGCCCAGCACAGAAGATCAACATCATCAGGCCAGGACTCTGCGGTCTACACTCATCTCCAGACCAGCGGTCACTCTTTCAAGGATGAAGATGTTCACATCCTGGACAGAGAGGAACGATGGTTTGAGAGAGGAGTAAAGGAGGCCATCTTTGTGAAGAGAAATCGTCCATCGTTAAACAGGGGCGGAGGCCTCCGGGTTCAACTGTCCCCCTCTTACAATGCTGTGATTGCTAGTATCACTCAACCCCCTGTGAGTAGTAAACAGCCATCAGTGTGCTAATGATCCATTGTTAGGCTGATGGTCCTTCTTGAGCATGTGATCAGCTGGTTTTGGTTGTCAGCAGCAAACTGGTTGATCCACTCTGAGAAGGTGCTATTTAAGAGACTGAGCTGAATACAGCACCTCAGACTGAGGAAGTCTTTCGGATGAGAGACGAAACATATCTACATTGTTGTTTTTTTTAATGTCCAGAGGACCAGATTTAACTTTTTTTAGATTGATTGTTACAATAATCACTAAAGTTTTACTACAATTCCTAAAAATATATAGAAATGTTTCCAATTTTTGAAACCAATGACAACTTTTCAGATGATTAAATGGATATCCAAGATGTTAATCAAACCACAATTTTGAATTTTCTTATTGTTTTTAGGACAAAAATCTTGATATCACTTGAAAGTTCTTTTAAACCATTCTCATTTAACATTGTGTCTTAATATAAACCTACTTTGAAACTTTTATAATCATAACTTCTATCAGATGCTTAGTTTTCTTACTAATAGCAGTTTAGAAAATTACTAAAGATGCTTTTGACATTTAAAAGCTGTGTGCATTTGGATGCTTTCCATTTATTTTTGTTCTCTAAGCATTTGTCAGACATTTTCAATTTGGAAATTGTTTGGTAAAAGTTCCAGTCTGTTGAAAACTGCCAGTGTATTTTATTTTTTTGTGCATGCCTGTTGGATTGATTTAGTGTATAAGCTGATACAGTGCTTGTGTGTACACAGTGTGCTGACGTGTGAGGTGTTAACTCTATGTTGTGTGTTTTCATGCTCAGGTACAACTGCAGAGCTTCAGATCACAGCCTGGACCAAAGAGCGACGTCTCAGCGACATTTATGAAGCTTTCGGAGTCTATTGGTGAGTCTCCCGTGGATGTTTTTTTTTTACACCTAAACACACAAAAAGCCAATAAAACCATTTATTTAATGACAATGCCTAAGGAAGATCTGTTTTTGTTTTTGTTTTTTTTTTCAAATTTGCCCTGTGGTGCAAACTTTCAAATAATATGCAAACACGTGTGGCTCAATTGGAAGTAATGTGCTTAAGTTTTGGTAGAACATAGATCAAATTAGCAATAAACTGGGAGGTGAAAAAACTAACTGGAGATCAGTGTGATTTTTGTCTAAACAGATGATAAAACCCAGCCCTCATTGAAGGGTCGCAGAAAGCTGGGCCTTACGTGTCTGAATTAGCTGTTTAATATCTTGCGTTTCAGTTTCATGATTTTTACTGGCTTTCCCTGTGATGGTTGATGATGTCATGGTGGCACGGTGGTGCAGCTGGTAGAGCTGTTGTCTCAGATTGAGAAGGTCGCCGGATCAAATACTGGCCCAGGACCTTTCTGGGTGGAGTTTGCATGTTCTCTCCGTGCATGCGTGGGTTTTCTCCGGGTACTCCCGTTTCCTCCCACAGACCAAAAACATACGTTAGTCTGATTGGTAACTCTGAACTCTAAACCCTAGGTGTGAGTGAGAGAGTAAATGTTTATTTGTCTCGTTTGTCTCTATGTGTCCCTGTGATGGACTTGTGACCCGTCCAGGGTGTCCCCCGCCTCTCACACAGTGATTGCTGGATATGGACACTAGTGAAACCTGTTACCCGAAAAGGAAGAAGCGGGTAAAGATAATGGATAGATGGTTGGGTTGGTTGGTTTGGTTGGTTGGGTTTGACTGGTTTGGTGGGTTTAGGTTGGATTGGTTGATTGGGTTTGGTTGGGCTGGTTTGGTTGGCTTGGATTGGTTGTTTGATTGGATTGGGTTGGTTGCACACCAACTTTTTGACTTGTCTAAAATGTCAAATCATTTGCAAATAGACTTTTTATTCTCCCACAACTCTTATTGTTGTGCAAATTACACATCAAAATGGTAAATGGACTGTACTTGTATATCGCCTTTCTATCTTATCCAGATACTCAAAGCACTTTACACCACAATCTGTGCCCTCATTTACCCATTCATAATGATAAGATAAAAAACCTTTAACACAGCACTTTACTAGATCTATACAAAGTTAATTTAACAAATCATTCTAAAGAGACTAATCAGCGCTTTAGATCACATTCATACACTGGTGGGACACACATCAGAGGCAATGAGGGGTTCAGTGTCTTGCCCAGGGACACTTCAGCATGTGACTGCTGGTGGATTCGAACCCCCAACTCTTGCGTTGGAGGACGACTGCTCTAACCACTCAGCCACAGCCGCCCTGTGTTGGGATTTTTGTTGTCTTTCACCCAGCGTGCATCTCACCACTGTAGGACTTACAGTTCTTGCTTTTAAATGGTGCACGTTATGTAACCATCTGAGTCTTCTGCCATTCACGCTTCGACAATTTTTAAGTTCTCACTTCAAATTTTCCCACAGCAAATGTTTGTTTGGAGATTACTTTCCAGTCTGTGTTTGTGTCTGTCTCTCATTAACTTAGCAGCCAGGGAGTAAAAGACACGGGTGTATAGTTGCCATGGTGACCTTAAAGAGCCAGTGGCAGCAGCTTTAACGTTTTGTTTCCGTCTTTACGTTTCTTGCACCAAAGTGAGGGTGGAGGCAGGTGTGGGAGCTTCACCTTTCCCACCCACTTTTTGATGCAACAGTCACAGGGATTCAAACCAGCGACCTCCTTTCTTTAACTTCTGCAGCTCCGCTCCCCTAAACCACAATTTTGTTTAAATATCGTGTTATCTCACAAGAATGAGCTGCACGTTCAGCAGCGTAAGGACATACAAGTACACAGATTAAGATGATTTGAGTAAATAATTTAAAAGTCATGTTGCAGTTTTGGGCAGTAGCTGCGTATTCTACTTTTTATTTTATCGCCACTACTGTGCACTAAGTTGTTTTTGTAGGTCTGTAAATGTAACAAAAGTTCTAAAGATTCATGTAAATGCTCAGCGATCACCTTGCTTTCACATTATTTTGAGTCTGTTCGGCGTTTAAACCTCAAACGAAGAACAGAAATGCTTCACATGCTTCGCTCTGTGACATCACGGCCTTGGTTTGGGTTCGTCCGACAGGTTCTGCTAACAAACGCATTAACGCTGCAAGCACCTCTTCCCTTTTTTAAAATCTCTCGTCAGACTCTTGAGTTTCTTTGCGACGCAGTTTAGGTGTCCGTTTTGTTTTTTGTATTTTTACTGGTTCAGCTGAAGTGAAAGCAGACGACTTCCTCCTGATGAGCTTTGCTGACTGTCGGCCGCTGCTGTGTCAGCATCAGGTTCTTACAGACTAACAAATGTAGTCACAAACATTCCCCCTGTGAGGATCAGCCCACTGTGCATTTGATCAGACAGAAAGTGACTTTTTATCAGTCACGTGTTCAAAGTGTCGTCATCTTTTGACTTCCACGAACCGAGTCTAGACTGTTTTTATCGTCTGCCTGTCAGTTCAAGCAGTAATTACAAAGATGTTTACTGAGGCATCTAAAAAATTTAGAACGTCGTGAAAAAGTTATTTTTGTGTTTTTGTCAATCATTTCAAAAAGTAAAACTCATATTATCGTAATTGCCAGTGTATAAGTTGCTACTTTTTTCTCACGCTTTGTATGGACCCCATGGCTTTTACACAGGAGCGGCTAATTTATGTACTTTAAAAAATAAAATCTTCTTTCGACTGCTCCCTTCTTCAGGGTTCACCACAACGAACGAAGTCGCATAAAGACTTGGTGATTATTTGTACACCAGATGCCCTTCCTGACGTAACCACGAGCCACCACAGCCCTCTGTGTGGAGCAGAGAGCTGCTGTCAGGGGCATCCGGGGGAGCAGATGGTAGGTGTTGAGGGCCTTGCTCAAGGGCCTAGAGTGTGGTAAATGAGGGTGGAGGCAGGTGTGGATGCGTCACCTATCCCACCCACATTTTTTTGACGTCGGTACCAGGAGTTAAATTGGCAATCTTCCGATCACAGGCCCACCTTCTCTAACCTCTGCGCCACCACTCCCCTCCTCTTTTATTATATTTTATTTTAATATTTTATTTTGACAGGCTGCAAAGCTTCCTGCCTCTGAATAACATTTTCCTTTGACACAACTTGGCGCTCATATCTGCCCAACACCCTCTCCACTTGGGGGCAGACAGAGTGAATGCCACAGGTACCGTCATTCCCCGATCTGTTACGGAAGCACGATCCGTAGTGTACTTGCGAGTCGGACGGATCGTCGTTGTTTATGAATTAAAAAACGTCTTAATTTACTTAGAAAAGTACGTGCTGTATCTTCACCGATCTTCATGTAGCTAATTTACGCCACTCGTATTTCCGTTACAAATCATTGGTTAATATGTGACGCATTAGACCTGACCCAGTCTGTGCTAAATGAGGACAAACCCTGCAAGATACAGAATGAATTATTTCCATGGTGAAACGGCGCCGCTCAGTGGTGAAGCTGAATATCATTTTAACCATGACGCAAATATGTCGGTTATTTTAACGGAAACACGAGTAGCAACATGAAAATCGGCAGAGATAGGGCACGTGCTTCAATAAGTAAATTAAGACAGTTCTTATTCATAAATAAAATTATGCTAGTACATTTTCCTTAATCTATCATATTCAACGTCACTCCATGCGACCCGGAAATATTCCTTTTAGCGCATGCGCAAATGATCGGATTCGGTAACAGATCGGGGAATGACACTCATGAAAGCTACCTCTCGCTCATGGTTCCAATTTCGCTACTACCAGTAAATAATCATAATCCCCACTCTGTTGCCATGTGACCAGAAGTTACCTTGACCAATGAGGTACTTACTGTACTCTCGAGTCACCCCCCCACCCCCACCCCCACCCCAAATAGACGTGCATTTATCAGATTTCATGTTTAAAAATCTGCTGGTTCCAAATGTTATTAACTGACTTTTTTTAATTCATTATACATAAAGTGAAATATTTAATTTTATTTTTTCATTATTATGGCTTACAAATAATTAACAACCAAATTCGGCATCAAATTACAAAAATAAAGGCTTGATATTTCACTCTATGAATCTGTAGCGTTTCCCTTTCTGAAGTGACTGACGAAAACTGGATCCTCTGAGATGCACCTGCTCGTATTATTACACCCAGACATTTAAGAACAAACCATGTTCTACGTTCTTGAATTCACTAACGTCTGTTTGGGTGTTGAATTGTGTCTCAGAAGCACAAACAAACTTGTCAAAACCAGGTAAACTTTAGATTTCACACTGATTTTTGTTCTGGGGAGGATGTTGAACGCAGCAGAGCGGATCAGCACACCCGCTTTGAATCGCGTGAAAGAACTGGGTTCTACTGAAAGCTGACTCTGCTCACAGATTCCTTTAAAAAAAAAAAAACAGAAGTCCTGCTGCAAACGGATTTTGTTTATTGGATGCTGATTCAACATGGCCGAAGACGAGCTTTTAGAAAATATAGAATAAAACCATAATTTCAGAGAATAAGCAAAAAACCCAGCAGAATAGCCACATCAGTTGCTGTAAATTTGCTAAATTTTAATCTGGTCTCAACTTTGACTCAGTTTGAGCTTAATAACAGTTTTCAGTAAGAGCAGGTAAATTTAAATTAAGTGCTGTTTTTTTTTCCCCCCATATGATGTTGAGGCATCATAACAGGAACTTTTAAGCGTGTCTGTGCAAAGCTTAACTTACGTTTACAATATTTATCTCAGAATTTCTCACTGTGGTGGTCATTATTTTTTGCGTCAGTGACTGTGAACTGAAAACAATCACCTCTATCATGTTTTTTGCCTTTTGTGTATATATTTTATATTTTTGCAGAATTTCAAAGTGATTAAACTTGAATGCAGTTATCTGATTTAGGTGGAAGCAATAATGTTAATTTCCTTACTTTTAGGACATCTTTGCCTTTTTCTTCGTCCAACAAACACAGACT